TTGGGTGAAGCTGTCCGTAAACACGACCATGGTTGTCACACAAGAACCTCTTGGGAGAAATCCGTGTTGAGCTGGAGAGATCACGTTGCTAGAAGTAAGGAGATCTGGGATAGTTCGCTTCAGAATGCGTTCCATCACTTTGCACGGCGCGCTGGCGAGGCTTATAAGCCTGTGGCTGCCAGGCAACAGTCGATCACCAGTTTTGTAGATTGGCGTGACAATCGCTTCCTCCCAAGCTTAGGGAAAACGGCCTTCGTCAAGCGACTGACGAAACACCGGGTGTTAGCGATTTGCCAGTGTGGAGGACGTTCCCTTCAGGATCCTTGGATAAACCTCGTCGGGCAGAATGGGTTGATTTTGTGCAAGAGTTGACGAATGTCCTCCACCGTGAAGACCAAGTCGGTTAGAGGATGTTTGTAGTTCCGCCTTGACAACAGTGGATATGACGAGGACGCTGGGGCTGAGTATAGATACGCATAGTGTCTCTGTAAGCCTCAGATACCACTGTTGGGCCACTAGTCGGTTCTCCGTTTCTGTCCCTCAAGAAGAACGCGGATGGCTTGTTTCTGCGGCGGTCTCATGTAGTTGAACAATACGTTTTTGTTTTTTCGAAAAGTTTAGGAGAGGATCGTTGCCGGCGGGCATATCACAAGAAATGGTTACAGGCTGGAGGGCTGGGGGTCGAAAAGTCTTGGGATGAAGGAAGGGATAGTATTGACGTCAAAACTGGGTCCACAATACTAAAGGGTAGCTACCTTGGCAAGGTCGAATCGCGTTGAAGAGTGGAGAGTGTTGATGTCTGAGCTGGACAGGGCGTCTGCAGCGACGCTGTCCGAACCTAGATTTTACTGAACGTCTGTGGTGATTTGGGAAGTATAGTCTAGATGACGCATCTCGCGTGGTTTGCATCCAGCAGGCTTGGCGCTGAAAGCACACGTAAACCGCTTATGATCGGTTTGAATGATACATGATCCCTTTTCCAATAAATGCCGGAAATGGAGGATAGCGAGGTAAATTTCGGGTAATTTACGTTCAAATGTACCTAACGCGTTTGTGCAGCCTGCATTTTCTGCGGGGAAAATTCTAATTGTTGAAATACACTGTTAACAATTTGTTGAAGTACGCTGCCAAAAGCAGCGTTCTCGTGGGTACCTAGGAAAGACAGTTTTGCGGCGTGAGAGATGGCTTGCTTGGCTCTTTCAAAAGCAGAAGTGGCGTCGGAGGTCAAAGTGACAGATTGTTCTTTGAAGCCAAGTAAATCGGTCAGTGGCTGTGAAATATCTGCACAATGAGGGATGAACCACCGAGATTAGTTGATGACACCGATTAAAAGACGAAGGTAAGTGATAGTGGTTGTTTTGAAAAATGATTCTGAGACCAAAATGCACTCGAACAATGGTGGAATACCGGTTGGGTCAATGTGGTGTCACACAACATCTAAGCTGATAACACCAAACAAGTATTCGTTAATGTCCAAACGTATGTTGTAGATGGGAAGACGTTAAAATACTGCCCCGAGATGACCTGCATGCTCAGTTATGGAGGTGCTATCGAATGAAACATCGTCTAGATACGCATACACAAATTTAAACCACGTAAAACACCGTCGTTGAAAAGTTGAAACTTTTGAGCTGAATTTCAAAGACCAGAAGGCGTATGCATGAATTTGAAGTGGCCAAATGGTGTTGTGACAGCTGTTTTAGGGATGTCATATAGAGCTACAGGGATATGATGGTATGCACGTATGAGATCGAGTATGGGAAAATGTCTATGTGGCATAAATTACTTGCGAAATCGTGGATATGCTGTATCGGATACCTTTCTGGGATAGTGGCGTTATTGAGAGAATGGTAACCTCCACAAGTCTTCAATCACTCTAGATTTATTGGGTACCGCGTGCAGGGTTGATAACCAGGGACTCAGTGAAGTTCTATTCACGCCGAGTCCGAGCATGTGTCTGAACTCGTGTTTTGTGATAAGAAGCTTATCTGGATGAAATCGACGGGGATTGGTATGGACAGTTGGAATTTTAGTCTGAATATTGTGAACGACAAAATAAGTGACCGGTTGGTTGTACTGAGATGGAGGAATGAGGGTATGGAAACCTCTGAGTATGCCAGTAAATTGGGAATCAGATGGGATAATTCGGATACCTGTAAATGAAGTTGAGGCACTAATTCTTTTGACCGAGAGGGAACTTAGCGCGTCCAAGAGACGTTTGTGCTGTACAACCGGTGAGTCGTAGTGGGTAAGGAAGTCTGCGCCAATTATGGGTGCTTCGACGTTGGCCAAAAGAAAAATCTACTTAAACGCAAGTCACAATATAAGGTAAGGGGTGGGTATACTTTTGTCGTGTGTAGCGACGCGGGTACCGTTATCAGCTTGCAACGAATAAGATGCGGAATCAGGAAGTGGATTCTTATGTGGTAGCATACTAACATCAGCTCCCGTATCTACGTAGAAAAGTAGACAAGTTGAACGATCGGTCATGTAGAATAGGCGAAAAGCGCGAAGAGGGCCACAGACAGCCGTCACCGTTATTGACTGGCCGGGTTGTCAAGGCCAAGAGGGACGGGTACAAGACGATGGTCGAGACTGTGAAAGTGGTCGATGCTTGTTGATCTCTAGCCGTTGTAGTCGATTGGTCAAGTTGGGAATATACATTATTATCAGTATCAAATTCAGCTTGTAGTCGTGAAATGGAGGCAAGAATGGGATCGAAATCCGAGGATGTAGTGGGTGTAGGGCTAGAAAGGGGTTAACGAGGTGACTGGGGTATGTCTCGGAGATTTTATCCGCCGTTTGGGTTAGCTGTTCCAAGCCGTGTTCATTGACGAAATCACTGATGACGTGAGACACGGTGGGTGGAAGTTTGTCGAGCAATAGTTGTGCCATGATTTATAACAGATCTCCTTCTTCTCTAGCCGCATCATTAGGAAGATGCTGGACGACAGGGGAAAAACGGGTGGCTTAGCAAGTGGTGCGCTGAGTACTGAAAACAGTCTCGAACTGGTTAAACCACACCATGGAATTGCGCGATTTATAGTCTGGTAAACGGTCGCTAATTGCATTCTCGACTAAATTCGATTAATCAGACTTCGTATCTATAGTGACAGGGCAAGAGTGGAAACTGCGACGACTTGAAAAGAAAAGTTAAAAAAATATGTTGAAAGACTCGGGTTTACCAAATTTGTAGTTGTCTGGCTACCCGAAAAGCTACATTACCGAAGGTGTGTAGCAGAGAAATAAAAATAATGACGCTAGATTGATTATAATAAAAGTGTCAGATGGTGCAGACTCACTGAAAACTGTTCTTTTTAAAATAGTTCGTCGTTGGGCCCAGTCAGCGAATAAACAATAGTCCAATTATAGCTGTCCAGAGGTCTTCTTCTAAACAGTTCTCAGTTATAGATTCCGAAGGTAGCCTGAAATGTTGCGGTACCAGAATTGGCGCATGAGACTAGTGGATGACCGCTGTAAGCGCGACCTAAATCAGAAGAAAGAGTAGAAGCACGTGACCACGTTTGTATTGCGTGAAATTGTACAAGTACGCTTTTCGAGAGTTTTTTGTATTCAAACAAAAACGGTTATGAAATTAACAAAATACATAATGTTATAGTGGAAGCAAATAAAGATACAAAGCGACACAGGTCTTCCTCAACTAAATTTATTGCACAAAGGCCGTTTCAAGTTCCAGTTGATATGATACTCGAGATATAGTGATATATTTTCGTATAGGAAACCACTCATGAGGTTGCCGAAAACTCTTCAGCAGCCCATGGCCGATTTTGCCTTTCTTGGCGCTAATCAGTTCGGCGAAATCCCCGAGTCCTCCTACTTGTCAAAATGTGGGCCGATCATGATAAAACATTCTGGCTTAGAATTTTCTGCTCGACCACGAGCACCCGCTTGGCCTTGTGGGACGTCCCGCGGTGAATATAAATACCTGTTAGAATTGTCTCCACCAGAGACCCTCATCTGACCTTCTGTTATGTCATAATAGGTGAAGCAGCAAGACTGCAGAATAGTGTAAGCGGAACGAGAAAAAATATAGGGATTTTTCGACAAATGAAAAATCAAAAAGTTGCGGTGACAATGATACTCACCCTCAGATAGTCACCTCAATTGGGATCGCGTGGAAACAACTTTTAGCATTCATTTCACTTAACATCTCCAGTCACGTGCACGATGGACAGGGCTTACCTTAGTAAACACAGGGCTACCGATGAAAGGAAGAAGGCCTTCGCTGCAGAGATATTTATTCAAAAATGCCAACTGATCGGTTACAGACCATTGAACAAGGAAGCAAAACTCTAATCTGCATCTTAGTTACAAAACCTGGACACGGATCTTCTCCCGAACGAGTCTTCCTGGAGATTCATTGCCTTCGTCGGCCAAATAAAAGCAAATGTTTCAAAGTGGCCCCACGAATTTTGCAACAGAATTCCATTTTTCAATCGACGCAAAGCGAAATTCTACAAACAACACATGCTACTCGCGTGCCTCCCGATCAGTAGTATCACCGTTACACCGGTAGCCACTAGTCACTGAATTTTCCAATGTTTTTTACCTTGACTCCCCCATGTATACAAGCCGAGTATGACAGTTGTTGTTGCACAAATGACTCATAAAAATCGGTAATAGAATGGATCGAATGTAAGAACCCTACTTAAAAAGCCATATCTTAAACCGCTTCGTTCCAGTGCACGGTGGGGCCTATGCTGTCGGCGGCAGATCAGTCCCCAACCCAACATCACGTAGGTAGTACTTTGGAAGGTATTCAGCTATTAGTCTCCTTAACACGACTTTACCGGTGGAGTACGCCGTCAGTAAACACATTAATAGACCTATAGTTCCGTGGCTCTGTCTGAGGTACCGTCCCTGGATTTAGCACAACAAGGAACCGGACAGTTTCAGAGTAAGCTTCTAAAGACGTTTTAAGTTTCAATTAGTTTTTTGTGTGAAGCGTTCAAAACTCCTTGATGATTAGAGCAGGGGGCGTGGTGCTGTTTGAAGGCAGGCCGTCTTTGTTTATTAAAGCGAATTCCATTGCGTCGTAGTCATCGAAGGTCCTTCAGCAAATGTTTTTCATCCGTCGACAGCCCATTAGGGTTTCACCCTTTTTGGGGCTCATCGGGTAGGCAAAATCCCTGGGTTTCTGTCAACCTTACGTTCTACTTGAAACCAAGACAATTGGGCTGTAGATGGATTTTCAGCGGCCTTATGAGTAGTACATTACAAAGATATACATGTATCGCGATATCTGGAATATTGTAGCGAATGAAACAGCCTGGTGCAACACACTGAGTTGCCTGAGAACATCGCAAACAAGCGACTCAGCCGGGTTTGGGGTGAGTCTCTGAAAAAACCAAATTAGTTTGCAAAAGAGTGCATATTTATTAATTTCGTGCAATTTTTTTCAAGTAGAACATAAGGTTGACGGAAACTAGGTGACTGCGCCTACCTGATGAGCCTCAAGAAGGGCAAAATCGGTCGTGGGCTGTCCACGGATTTTCAGCAAACTTGGGAGTAGTACATTACAAAGCTATTCATTCATACCTAATGGTTTGCTATGTTCAGAATCGGTGGTAGAGGATAAGTTTTATTTTTCAAAAGAACGCAACATTGAGATATAAATAAATTCATCATAAGCAAGAAGCGTGAAATACTTACGAGTTGTTCGAATTAAAGGCTCAATACTGACTTTTATTCAGCTGACCAGCCAGGGAAATAAGAATATCACGAAACTGTAAGGGGTAAGTAAGAAGAGAAAAACACCATCGAATCTTCTAGAATGGGAATTAGAGGAGTGTAATTCCTAAAATAATGCACGGATGTCCGTCAACAAGAACGACGTTGTCTCACGTACAGCAAGAAATAAAAAGCGAGCGGAGCAAACCGTCGGATAAAACGGATGCACCCCCCCCCAAGTTGTGTCAGGAGACAGTTCAGCGCGTCAGCAGAGGCTGATACTGACCATTCGGCTATAGGTCGTTGCATTTGAACAGCGAGTTTAAGCGGTCCGAAAACATTTTTCCTCAGTTCACCTAAAACGTACACAAAGGGAAGTGCGGAAAACCGATCCAAGGATCCACGAGCCCTTACATCATCCGCCAAATGCACCAAGCTATGTACATTGCACGTTACAGCCCGTGGTCCATATGTATCGGAAGAATTCTGTACGAATACGCGTGTAAATCAAAGTCAACATAATCGCGTGGAAAGGTGGATGGGAAAATATATACGCAGTATTATACAAATCAGACAAATTTCTATAAACGTTGGTGTCGATCAAACCTGCAAGTACAACAGGTCCTCAGTAAAGTAAACACTATCCGCGGCTTCCCACGGACTACCGTCTTCGAGAGGACGGAAATAACGTTGGAACTCGCTGGATGTGTGCCTGTGCACAGTTGAAATGCGCCGGTTACTTTACGTCCCAGTTGTTTGCGTCAGTTTGCAAGAACAACGCGCTTGATTACCGACCCAAAATTATGGCAACTGCTTCGTTACACCTAGGTATCACAAGAGCATATAATCAAAGTGGATGACATGATCATGTCTATTGGTAGCAGCCCAGATCAAGCGACACCAATATGATATCTGGCACGGTGTCCGCCCTCAGACGGGCATCTAGTTGTGGGAAAGTCATCGCTCTCTCAGGCCTGACTTTGAAAACCATACATATGTCACAACCGTAATAACCGGAATGTTCTTTGGTTTGATGAACAACCTGGCTGGTCTGTCGCAAAAGATGAACAGGACAGATGAACAGGCACACATTCCAAGTCATTAAAAGGAATAAAACCACTATCCGAAACCAAATGCAGTTCGCTTGTCGTGTGTTGCCGGTAGCCTTCGACGTCCAGCGGTTCCGAAACGCCACAACCACAAATAGTCTTGTTCCCGCTTACTCCTACCCAGTTACGAGACTTGGCCAAATTAGGTCTCTCAAATACTTGTGTAGACCGACACCATCGATGTTGAGCACAACGTGAGCGGTGTTAATTCACCCCGCATGTTGACCGTCAACCAGATACTATGCAAACCCGTGCGCTATCCAAGGTGGACATGAACACTACCGGCAATTGCATTGGATGTTGTCAGTATTCGAAGGCAAAGGAGAGCTCTTGGGTCTTTCGGCAAATTAAGATGACGTCGACGCAGAATGAACAACAACATACGTTGGTAGTCGAGGGACACCGGTAGATGCACCAGGGCCTGGCGCATGTCCTCCACAATAGAAGGTGTACGAGGTGTTCAATAATGTTATCCCCAGACCGGACTCATTGCGCTCGGAAGGGATATGTATAGCTAGATACCTTCCAGAATACTACCTAGGTGGTGTTGAGTTGGGGCCTAATCTGCCGCCGAAAGCATGGGTCCCACCGTGCAATGGAACGAAGTGGTTTAAGATGTGGCTTTTTAAATAGGGTTCCCACATTCAATTCATTCTACTTCTTTGACTTTAGAAGGCATTTGTGCAATAAAAACTACCGTATTCGGTCTGTAAACATGACGGGAGTCTGGGTTAAAAACCGCGAAAATAGAATACGTTTTTACTGGGTATTTTGCGCAGCATTATGGTGTTCGCAAAAAGTCATTCTTGACCAGTCTATTTTTGAGAAAACGCGATCTTGAATTGTCGGTGACTTGTGTTTGGATAGCTAAGCACCGAATCCATAGAACTGCCGAAAAGCCCACTTATTCTACCCCTCCATGGGCATTTTCTCACATGTTGAGTAAATTTGCCGCCATAATTTCAGATTATTTGAAATTTTAAATGTAGTTCTACTTCTGCCCATCGATCGTCTTGGGTGTCGCCACCATCTCTGTGGACCATGGAGCAAATACAGGACTCCAACAAGCGGTTCGGATTTGTCAAAAGTGCCTGATCAATAAGATAATGCGCACCTTGGCAGCGTTGCGAGGTAATCTTCAACAATATTCATCCTAAGATGAAATACGCGACGTGTCAGAGCAGAAGCCATCAGAAGTTGATTAGTGCCGGAATTTTACTGCTTATTTAAATAATAGAGGAAACGGTCAATCGCTGAGTGGAAATGATTTATGTACGTCAGGAATATCAGAGCAACGCCTCATTTCAGGTGCATTCACGCAGCTTGTACGAAACTATACCTTGAAGAGATGAATGTAATGACCAAAATGGAAGATTTTGATGCCTTCTTGGTCAGATTGTTGGACGCGGAATTCCGCGAACAGTCAGTGAGTACTTTGAACTTGGTAACATCTTATTAATGAAGGTGTTGGGACTTGATGGACGATCTTGCAACTCTGTATCGGTCCCTTGGCTTTCTGCTCCACCCACTATGGTATATCGGAAGGCACGTAACCCTACACAGATCTTTATGGAGACTAAGTAAAATTACTACAGCTGTACTTATGAGGTAATCATAGAGTCTTTCACAAGGTCGTGCTAAAATCTTCGTGAGGTGGCGAGAACCGGATCCGGATTGGCTGGTATTCTGACCAATCAGGGCATGCATTTGTTTGGTTTGTGTCCTGCTCTTGACATGTCCATCTAAGGCGTGTGATGTTCGGTTATTAGGGACGCCTGGCCTCTGGACAGAAGGTTATTTCTCTTCCACGATGGAGTTGCTCTGACCCCTGTCTGTCAGTAAGGAATATGCTGCGTGCTCTGTCTTCCCAGAGTTCACAGATCAACTAGCGTGGTTAGACCGAATAAGCACGTCACCGGTGGCATTGTTTACTGGGAAGGGAGGAGATAAAAGACCTATCTCATGCACAGATTCACCAAGGCTCATTAAGGGCGAGGTAACGGTTATACATTGATATTCGACACTTTGGATGCCATTGTCTCTGCGGCCACGGTCAAGGTTTCGCGTGCAACCACAATTTATTGTTTAGACGGGGAACAAACAGACGTTTCATTGGTTATTAGACTCTGCGAGTACCCTTCTTGAAGAGCCCACCTCGACTGTCCTGATCGGTCTAGACCACCTGTAATGAATTCCAGGTGGACAAAATTAACAAATTCGTTTTAGTCCTTGGACTGAGAACGGGGAAAGTCGTCGGAACCAGGTGCACCATGACGCTTCAGTAGGCCTATACACCCGACATTTCTGAGGCTGAAGAGGTTCCGTATTCGAAATCTACGTTCCTGCCAAAAGCCGGCAATCCGGGGCGAAAGCAGCGGATGGTCAACTGGATTGTTGATCAACGTACAATGACCAACGGTTCAAACGCTCTTTTTACCAGGTGTCAGCGAGCATGGTGATCACAAGTGATAAAACCGACAGGAATTTTTCGAGGATTTGTCCGAGGGATCAAGGGGAGCAGTTTGCAGACACAACAAACGTTTTTTTATTTTTCCATTTCTTTACCATTTATATTCAACAGGCTTCCAGGTTTGCGTCGACACTCAGTATTACCTGGTGTTGAGTGCTGCTTTGAGTTTAGTTGTGGTTTCGACCAAATGGAAATTTTCATGGGGCTTCCAACAAAGCCACGGCCATTTCGAAGATCCAGTGCTTGCAAGAACCCGAATGGGTTGTACCGAAGTCAGGTTCCGACATCGGGAAGGCTCCAGATGTCCCGTTTTAGTGATGATTAATATCCGATACTGGATCATCAGACAAGCGTTTTGGAAGTAGGCTCTAATAGGTTCGTTTGATTTCGTGCCCCGTAAGGTTCTAGATCACCAAACGGCGTGCGCGTGTTTTGCGTAGACAAAATCTCAATGTAGACCAGCAATAAACATGATCGGATTCCACATAGACATGATGCTGGCAGTGTGGTCCACTTAAGTTCGGGGCTTGTTTGTTGGTGGGCATCAGATACCAAGTGATTTCCGTTGTCTGGTACTGCTGGCACTGCAAAGTAACGGTGCACGGTCAGCAAAAGGACTCGATCCCTTTCGAAGAGACTGAGCCTTACCGCGGTGTGGCGGAGTGTGCACATCCGTAACGCAGTGAGGTATACTGGGGAGTGTATATCAGACACCTGCAGGGCCTCTCATTCCAGATTGGTCAAGGGGTAGAGATACGGCTAACACAACCTCTTCGTCCTCCAGGTTCGAGTTTGGACCTTTGTGACGACTTGGTTCTTAGAAATGTAAGTTGCCCGGATGGCCTTTCACCATCCACTGCTGTCTTGCCATTAGTTGTTTGAGCAGAAGGCTCTAATCACCATCCTGGACGCACTGGCAGGTTTCCATCTCATGCGCAAGTATGAATCGCACATTTACGACTAATCTCACGCCTTTTGGTCGTCTCGGTAGTGGTACTTTTAGCCGGATCGCCTTACTCGCTGCATATACCAGGTCGGGTAGGCGAGAACATGGTGCTACTGTTGTTTCTCGTTCGTTCTCCACTCGCCACCACGTTGCTAGTGACATCTGTTTAGGCCGATTCTTGAGGAATGATGGATCTGTTCTTCACCAATAGACGTTAGCTGCAATACCTAGGCCGCCGAGCCGTGCACACCACAAATTCATTCATCAAACTCCAACGCTCATCTTATCTGAAAAGATTTGACGTTCGCACTCTGAAACAAACTGGGCAACAAACTTTTGTTGCATGTACGCTACGCTCGCTTCCTATTGATGTGTGCTGTCTCTCTGAAACAGAATTATTACCCAAGTACCGTTGTTGAGCTGTTAATATCAATTTCCTCCCGCTTCTAGTTGAGTATCTCTAATGATCCACAAGTTGCTACGGCATATTCTGCCGAGGTTGGCATGGTTTTAAGCCAACGGACCAAAGAGTCGGCTCTGTTGATTGTCCCTTTATAGCCCTCTCTGTGCGGTTAATTTTGTAACGCTAGTGAGTGTATCCGGCAGACGCGCCGATAATCGCTGCCTTTTCATCTTATCTGCATACACCCCAACAGACCAGCTCTGATACTTCCAAAGACCGTTTTTACGACACTATGAGCACCTTGTAGCGCAGAGATTTTCATGATTTTTGAGGATGTGAATGTGCAAATGGATGGGTTTAATAATACTGAGGCTTAATTGGGTTGTCCCGGCCTAAAGCTACCACCTGGACGTGGTGGTTGGGCTTGAGTGCTGCAATTGATTTTTGATGAATGTGCAAATGGATGGGTTTAATAATACTGAGGCTTAATTGGGTTGTCCCGGCCTAAAGCTACCACCTGGACGTGGTGTGGTGGCTTGAGTGCTGCAATGATCCCGCGGGCTACACTGGAACTTCGTTCTACAAGGTACAACCATGCCAGGAAGGCCAAAGGGGAGCAGCCAGACCAAGAGCAGCGAGACCCCGTACTACTAGTAATCGTGCTACGAGGCGGTCTGGAGGTAAAGTCGTACTGTCCTCTGCGACAGGAGTGTGAAGGCAGTAAGGTGTTTCCCCCAGGCGACCAGCATTTCCATATTTATGGAAGCAGCAATGCTGCCTTCCCCCGAGGAAGGAGGGGTTAGAAAAGGTCGGCCCCAAAAACCGCACACTCTGATCGCCCAACGGTTGACCGTGACC